GTACAATGCTGTTTCATGCATTCAGAGTTGTTTACACTGTTAAAGAGTTGGATTCTCATGCTAAACATGGCCAAAGTTTCAAAAAACAATTCGGAGTATTTCTGTGCCAAAGATCTTACTTCCGGGTTCGTACAAGTTTCGGAGAGTTTTTTTCGATCGTGCCTCTTCATGACGTAGACGAGGGTGGAACTTTTTTTTTTTAATGGATGGGCGCATTTTATTTAACTGCTTTTAGACGGATGCATGCAACACCCGCTGAGTGGCATTAAACAGCTTGAAAGATCAAAGACAATTTTTAATATAACTTCGACTGGATTCGTCTGAAAGAAGAAAGTCATATACACCTAGGATGCCTTGAGGGTGAGTAATTTATGGGCTAATTTTAATTTTTGGGTGAACTAACCCTTTAAGTTTCAGAACTCAAAACTTTCTCGTTAGTTTAAAAACAGCTCATATTGAAGCCAGTCTGCCAAAATGGTTGTGGAATGTGCCACTTTATGATGTAATAATGTGGCTAAACACCACCTCCACAGAAGATGATCAACGCCTGTTTCTACAGCACTGCCTGTTTAGCTCTGCCCACCGATTCCACATCACTTCCTTTTTAGCCCCGCCCACCGATTCGCACATGTAGTGTATAACTAGAGAGGCGAACGTAGGTCTAAGCAGAAACCAAATGATAAAGATGCTCCGAAGACAAGACGCTGTGCAGTGCCAAGATGTGGAAAAACAGTCTTTTCATTGCCTTCCTTCTGATCCCAACGTTAGGAAAGAGAGGAAGAACTTTATTTTTAATGCAGACCGCATCAGTAAGAACTTGTTCACTTCATTTAACCTTGGATTAGTTTACAAACAAGGCACAATTCAACGCTGGATTTTCCGAAAGACTGAAACTAAAAGACAATGCTGTGCGACGACAGTAATGTCGCACCACACAAGTGTGAGTTTTCATTACGTGCTCACTATTGCTTTGTCTGTTACTACAGATCATTTTATTTGTACTGAGTATTTATGTGTTTTTGACCTAAATCACAGCAACGTCCATCTATGAGGAATGTCGGCTGTCAAACATACACAACTGTTAGCCAATCATAGCAGTGGGCGTTTACTTCTGAGTTTACAATCTGCCAGCCTATTCAAACAGAGCATTCTGATGAGCGGGGTTAAAAACAGGATATAAAATAGCTATTACTTCTTAATTATGATATTTTTTGATGTAAAAATCTTGATAACATTAAAAGGGAACATCAGAGAACAGTACAAAAATTTTTTTAAAAAGGCAGTTCATGCCCCTTTTAAAATTTGTCTTCTTAGGTAGGTCAAAATCGATCGTAATGAATGAATATATCTCATTATATAAATGAACAAGGTAAGCTGCAAAGGCTTTTATTAACAATTGAGATCAGTTTTCTGAAATCTGAGGAATGAATTATGCATTTGGCAGATGCTTTTATTCAAAGCAACTTAAATTGCATTCAAGGTTTATATTTGTTAATCATGCACTCCATGGGAATCAAACCTATAGCCCATTGTCTACTGTTTGGGATACAGGAGTAATTGTCTGAGAAGTAGTAACCCTTCCAAGAAAGAGAACAAGATGATCCTACAGCTGATAAAAGCAAATGGCTGTCACGTGACGAGCATTCAGAGTCAAGAAAATCCAAAGAACCAAGACTCTGATGAAAGGGCCACAGAATGTGTTGTATGGCAACAGGTGTAAAACATGGCAGATGAACCACTGAACTTCATTTCATTTATTTTTGTATTGTAAATGTTTATTGTGCATTTACTGATCAATATTAGTTTTCAGTGTTTGCTGATTAATATCTATACTGCAAGGTATCTGATAGATATTATGCAGATATAAAGAGTATACATAAAAAGCTTTTCAGATCTAGCTACATTTCTTTTATTTCTTTGAACTGCCACAGAGCTTCTGTTTCCTCTTTCCAGGTATGTTTTGTAATTTCATCATCAATCAGTCACGCAAAATCACTTTTCCATTACATACAAAACTGAACTATTTTAATGGCTAAAACAGTAGTATAAGCTTTTTTGGGAAAAGGGGGAAAAAGACGGGCTAGGGCCTATGATTGAGGCCCGTGCAGGGCTCTAATCCATGTTATCCAACGCTGTTTTATTCTCGGTTTTCATCTGTGAGCATGCTCTTGATATACAGTGCTGCTTGAAAGTTTGTGAACCCTTTAGAATTGTCTATATTTCTGCATAAATATAACCCAAAAAATCATCAGATTTTCATGCAAGTCCTGAAAGTTGACAAAGAGAACCCAATTAAACAGATGAGAAAAAAATATATACTTTGTCATTTATTCAGGAAAATGATCCAATATTACATATCTGTGAGCAGCAAAAGTATGTGAATCTCTAGGATTAACTGTTAATTTGAAGTGAAATTAGAGTCAATCTGTTCAGAGGTGCTTTCAATCAGTGAGATGACTCACTGAGGTGTCAGTGTGTGCCCTGTTTTATTTAAAGAACAGGGATCTATCAAAGTTTGGTCATGTTTGTGGAAGTGCATCACGATTGAGATCTCTGAGGACCTCAGAAAAAGAGTTGGTGTTGCTCATCAGGCTAGAAAAGGTTTCAAAGCCATCTCTAAAGAGTTTGGAACCCACCAATCCACGGTCAGACAGATTGTGTACAAATGGAGGAAATTCAAGACCAATGTTACCCTCCAAAGGAGTGGTCCACCAACAAAGAACACTCTAAAAGCAAGACGTGTAAAAGTCCACTAGGTTTCAAAGGACTGCAGGATAACTTCTAAGCAACTAAAGGCCTTTCTCACATTGGCTAATGTTAATGTTTATGAGTCCATCATCAGGAGAACACTGAACAACCATGGTGTCCATGGCAGAGTCGCAAGGAGAAAACCACTGCTCTCCAAAAGGAACATTGCTGTCCATCTGCAGTTTGCTAAATATCATGTGGACAAGCCAGAGGAATACTGGAGAAATGTTTTGTGGATGGATGAGACCAAAATAGAACATTTTGGTTTAAATGAGCAGCGTTATGTTTGGAGAAAGAAAAAACTGCATTCCAGCATAAGAACCTTATCCCATCTGTGAAACATGGTGGTGGTAGTATCATGGTTTGGGCCTGTTTTGCTGCATCTGGGCCAGGACGGCTTGCCATCATTGATGGAACAATGAATTCTGAATTATACCATCAAATTCTGAAGAAAAATGTCAGGGGCAGCTGTC